GTAATTCATCATTCCTCACTTGCATGTCTATATTTTGAGAGTAGACCATGAATTTATCATGTTTTTGTAAGAGTTAGCTCATTTGAGCTTTGTATTTAAAGCTTGAAAGTGGTTTAAATTCATGCATGTTGCATTGAAGTTAAGTTCATGAAAATTGGTTTGAATTTGAGTTGAATTGATCTTCCCTTGGGCTTTGATTTTACAAATTGAGCTTTGAACCATGTTATACTATGTATTTGCAAATGTTTTCCAAGAAATGAGCCCAAGAGGATTGAATTTAATGCTTTGTAAGTTGAACTTGAGCTTGAGGTTCAAATTTGAGAATTTCAGATTTTGAACTCACGCTCGAGCGGGGTGATTGGCGCTCGAGCGTGAAATTCGTGCTCTTAGTAGTTTTTGCACTGCTTTGGTGTCCGCTCGAGCGGGGTAATTGACGCTCGAGCGTGACCTTGTGTTTTACGCTCGAGCGGGTGTCGAGCACCCAATCGAGCGTGAATTTCACCTATCCAGCACTTTTGACTGTTTTGAGGTACGCTCGAGCGGTTGAGTATGCGCTCGAGCGGAAACCTTTGTCTGCATGTCCGCTCGAGCGGATTAACCTACGCTCGAGCGAGACCCCTGTTTTCTGAAAATTCTGAAAATGCTTTTAAAGTACATTTTTGCATCCTTATTTCATCCTAGGCATTCTTAGGCCTAGTTTAAGGCATCTTAATGAGGATATAGATGTGAAACCACACAGAGGCAAATTAGGGATTAAGTTATTATTTTTCCAACTGTGTAGCTTAGTGTGTGTTCAATCTGTAAACTGTGTAGGGTTGGCGACTGGGGACGCGCTTTAGCCTAACTGTAACCCAGAACTCTGTGAGTAACAACTGTGTAAAGATATGTTCAAAATGATTATCTTCTGAACAATTGAACTATACTGCTTTCTGAACTGATACTGTTAATTGAATGAATGTATGCCCTATATTCTGAACTATATTGTGGCATCCTTAGCAACTACTGTTTACTGTTACTGTTACAGAGATCTCTGTCGGTTCCCTTGTTGGAACCACTACTGTTTACTGATTGATGGCCATCATTTACTGTTCGGTCTTTTAAGGCCTACTATTTACTGTATTGTTATGCTAATGGATGTACCACATATGACTGAATGACTGATGTACTGAATTAACGAACTGTTTTCATTACTGCAAGGACATTCATTCTTAACCTTTTTACGTATTACGTTATTCACTGGGCTTTAGCTCACTGCATATATATATGCAGGTGTACAGGCACCAGACCGCAGCTAGAAGCGTCGGGGTAAACTCCAGTTTTGTCAAGCCAACCTATGTGCCTCACTGCGAGGTTCCGAGCCTATCAAGCTAAGGCTACGGGGTGTTTTAGTTTTCCTCCTTCTGCTCTGTTTTGTAAACTGTAGACTGTTACTGTACTGTTTAACAGGGATTAGGTCCCTGAACTGAATGATTGTATATATGTACATACTGTTTTGTCACTGACTGCATATATGTATGAAAAAGTCTTTTGCATACAGACTGTCACAGCTCATTGGACATTGTTTATTTACTGTTTTGGCTTCCGCCATGCCCGTGTACTCTGTTTTACTGTATTACTGTTAAGTAGGCCTTCGGTAATCTCGGATTACTGGCCGGTTACGGTGCTAAACCCATAGCGGCGGGTTTGGATCGTGACAGAGTGGTATCAGAGCGATACTTACCACGAGTTATACAACACACACATGTCCAAATAAGCCATAGGATGTCCTAGAAAAGCGATTAGGGCATTACATGAGCATGATAAGTGTGTGGCTATGACATGACTGAACATATGCTAATGTGTTAATCTGTTTAAACAAATGACTGCCTATGTTGATAACTGTTATCACTGCCTATAGTGAAATGGATAATGCAAGAACTGCAAATGAATCTGAATCCTCATCCTCTGAGGCAAGAATGGCAAGACTGGAAAGAATGATGGAACTAATAACTGAAAGACTAGATCAACAATAGAATCAATAGCTTCCACCTCCTCCTCCGGTACAGCCGAAGCAGAATGTGAATGTTAATGATGGGGACATAATTGCTCTCACCCATAAGTTCAGCAAAATGAAACCGCCATCCTTTCAGGGAGGCCTTGAACCGTTAAAAGCTGAAGCATGGGTTCTCGAGACAGAAAAATTGTTTGAGGTTTTTCCGTGCTCCGAAGCACATAAAGTGCTATTGGCCACCTTTACTCTGCAAGAAGAAGCTAGAAGGTGGTGGATGCTCATCCGTGATGAAAATACCGTTCT